AAGCTTCAACTACACAGGTTTTTAGCCTACTTTAATCGTTTATAGTTTATTAAGTAAATAAAGGGGATTAAGGAAGTTTGTAAATTAATTACAAACTTTATTAAAGCTATATTATATTTATCAAATAATAATAAAAAACACCTCTTTATCCTGAAAACGTATMCTACTTTTATGATGAACAAAACATTTTAAATGTATAATTATTTGCTAGGTAAATCAACAATATATATAARAAAATTTAACATCAGTTTATAATTCAATAATATTTAAATTAACATCCATAATATTTTTATTTTTAAACGCTTATGTATTATAAATTTTTTTTACAATTTTACCTTAAATCTCTATTGAACTCTTGCACAGGATTATAAAACACTTTGCTAGAGCTAGGAACTCGAATTTTTGCTTTACCTTCCTTTATTTCTGTAAATTCAGATGAAGAATCCATGTTGAAAAGGCAACAACCTAAATAATAAATATTACAATTAGTATCAACATTTAATAACTAATTAGATAAGATGTGACTTCAGTATATACAAGCATTAATAAAAAAATATTTATATCTTTCTATATAATGTATATATACATATATATTATATACCTCGATTAAATGTCAAATTATTAATATTAATATATTTATYATAGAAGTATCAATTTCGTCATTACTTTCAGAAAATGAAATTTACAAATTTTCTAACTTTTGGTTGCTAAATGCCCTAAATTAGTTATTGATAATTTGAATCTGTTAAATATTTAATGATTACCGTAAGTAATAATTTTAAAATTTCAAGAGTTAATGATTTAAAACTATATTATTATTTATTATTTATTAAAGACTAAAGTTATGAAGTTATGAACTTCTGATAAAAATTAGGAAGCTGTCACAGATTTCTGTGGCTATGTATCGAATAGAGACGAATCTTAGAACATTTACTAGTATATGATCTAAGTGACGAATACTATCGATATCAATTGAGGTTATGTTCACCGGTATGTTGTGTTATCTAAAATTATTTTCTACCTAACTATCGATATGCTATCGACTATCAAATCTGCTATGTAGTATACTATATATAATATAATATGTGTATGGTAAATGGTAATTCATTACTTTTTAGTTTTTAGTATGCTACTTTAGTGTGAGTACTGAATACTAGGTATAAGATGGTATAAGGTATCATCTTAGCAGTTAATAACGTGACATGTTACTTGTCGATTGTTAGTTAAATAATAGTGATTTTTAACATAGAAGTTCAATTTAAAAGTTGGTGATAATATGTGTATTGTGTGTAATATCTAGTGTTCTATAATATGCCTAAAGATTGACAATTGAGAGAACACCATCAGAATGGCACAATTTTTATTCCGAGGACTCCGACTGTGCAACACCACTATTTTTAACAAAACAGCAGCATGTTGCAAATGCGAGCGGAATACATTCAAACTGATCTCGTACGTGCAACCGTCATTTTCGTCATTGTTAAATAAGAAATTTTACAGTTCATTAACTGAAAAAAAACCTGCTGAAACATCAGGAACGACACGTGCGATCGATCCATTAGATATTTTTGGCGAGGATAAAGATGAAAGACGTAAAGAAAAAGAAAAGGCGATAAAGAACCTAAAAATAGGATTCTTCTTCATAGGTGCGTCATTAATGATGGTTCTTGGGTCTGGTCTTTATGTTCTAATGGATGACAACCATTACAAAAAAGATGAAGATGAAAAAGATATGTATCCAGTACGTGTATTCAATCGTGGACGGTTAGCAATCAGAGATTTTTTTGAATCAATGCGAGCGCCTTCTTATGAAAAACTATTGCCTGATCCGTTGCCATACCCGTATATCCAACCACCATACACATTGATTATAGAAATGACAGACCTGCTCGTTCACCCAGAATGGACATATTCAACTGGATGGAGATTTAAAAAGAGGCCAAATGTTGATCGTTTCCTTGAGCAAGTATCTCAAAATTATGAAATAGTTGTATTCACAGCTTCAAATGGATTTAATGTTTACCCAATTTTAGACAGTTTGGATAAAAATAATGTTATTATGTATAGACTTGTTAAAAATGCAACTGATTATATTGATGGACATCATGTAAAGAATATTGACCGTATTAACCGTGATTTATCTAGAGTTATTATGGTTGATTGGAATGTAGATTCAGTAAAATTACAAAGGGAAAATGCGTTAGTAATACCCAGATGGACAGGTGAAGATGGTGATCAACAGTTGATTCAATTAGCCGAGTTTCTAAATGTTATTTCTACAAGTGAAGTAAATGATGTAAGGGAAGTACTCTCATATTATAAACAGTTTGACCACCCACTTGAAGTTTTTAAAGAAAACCAAAGAAAATTATTAGAAATGCAAGAAGAACAAAAACAAATATCAGGCACACTTCCAATAAATAAAGCAAGAGGTTCGTGGAAAGATAAATATCTATATGGAAAATAAATTTCAAATGTTATTACATATTTTTATCTTTGTTTTTTTATACCAATAAAGTAGGTAATAGATATTAATACTGCTCGACTATTATTTACTTTGTTATTATATTTTTTAATTCAGAGTCCCCTGTTCATGCTTAGTAGTACAACTATTGATAATACCTGAATAATATATTACCTAGAAATATTCAGTTAATAAAATCATAAGTTGTAATGACATAAATAATTTTGTACTTTCTTAAAACATACCTAAAAAAATAACTTTTACTGGACATAGTCACATAGATATAACACTTATTTAATCATTTTTAACAATTAAAAAACAATGAGGCTTCAAAGTTCAAAGTAATTAATTTTAAATCAATAATAATCAATAAATTGTTGAGTATACTCGACTATATAACAATGTAATAAGAACAGACGAACAGTTCAACTAATAATGCTCAAGAAAGCAAAAACTGAATTAAATCAATTATTCTAAAACATATTATTCAGTAATAATTTTTATATCAAAGTTATTGAAGAATTTATAATTTTTAACAAAATTTTAAAATAAATCAATTATTACTAATGATATCTATTCTGAACAGTACAAAATATAGGTAAGTACAAGGTACTTTATCTTTAAAAAAATGAATCTATGTTTTGTGTAAGCAGTTTTTTTAAATGTTAAAAGAATATTCAGTCTGTAACATTATTATAATGGCAATTGTTACTTAAAACTGTATAAAACTATATATTTTATACTTATGTATGTACAAATTACAAAGAGTTTACCACCTATAAGTTTTGTGCAAGATTTTTTGAACTTGGCTGAAAAGCAAAAAAATAAAATGCAAGAAATTGATAATGAAAATTTAGTATAATGTTAGTACTTTATTATCCATTATTCATTATTTACATGTCACTGTTTATACATAATATTATATATTATTCTGTTAAAACTTCAAAAATAATATAAAACTACACAAAATCTCAATTACTTAAAACTTAATTTAAAAAAAAAAAGGTATAAAATGAAAACGTGTATTAATATTAATTAAGATAGTGACATATGGTTCACAAATACATACCTACCTAATCAATTTCAGTATTTTGTTATAAGTTAAATGTTTAAATTCTTAAATTTTTCAAATATAATAGGTGTAAGGCTTTATTATCAACTTACGTGTGTTATAATATAATATTGGATATTGTTTTGTTAAAATTTGTATATTCATAAATTTCATAATTTAAATAAAATTACTATAGTCTTCAAACGAGTAAAATAATACGAATAAATGTAAAATAATTAAATAAAAATTTCATGAACCTTCAATTAAATTAAGTACTATAATTGGTCACTATAAAAAAGTTTTTAAATTAAAAAATTGAATAACTGGTTAAGTAAATTTTAAAATGATTGTTAAAAAGATAGGTTGTATGTTTTTTTTTAGCGCTATATATCTGAGAAATATTTATTATCATATATTATACAACATATATTCTGTATTATCAGTCATCAATTGATCAATATTGTAAAATATATTAATTCTTAAATTAAAATTTGTTTTTGTAATTATAAGAAAAACGTTTACATATTTGAGAAATCGAGCCTTTCCAAAAATCTGAACAAAAAACTAACGGCTAACAGTGAGCCATGACGCCATGAGCCGTACCACCACGGTGGTAAAAGACAAAAGTAGGTACATACCTGATACCTACTAACTTAATACAACACTGTCTGTCGAACCACTCTCCCCAAAAGTGATAAACTGATAACTGATAATGGTAAGCACGATTTAAGATATTATATCTTAAATATCTTAAATCGTGGTACGGACCTTAGAGCAATACAACACTTATGAATTTTGAGAGGCTAAAGCTAAAACCTCAAAGATTAAAAACAATGATCGACATTTTACGAGTTGATATTGATGTGAAATTTGCATTCGTTTGTCGTAAGTCAACTGAGTAATGAGTATATGGGTTATTATTAATGTAGGTAAAAATATTAAAATTATACAATATAAATTCTGTATAATTAGTTATTAAATTAATTGTAAAATATATTAATTCATAATTTTTTTTTATATTAATATAAGAAAAATGTTTACATATTTGAGAAATCGAGCTATCAATGTTTTATGATTAAATGTTATTGAATATTTGTTTATGGCTTAAAATGTGAAATTATCATTTTACAGTACGTAATGATGTATAATATTTTAATACTTCCAATTACATTTTAATATTTTCACAATAATAAAAATTGTTAAATAGATTAGAATACTTACCTTTTGTGTTCTGTCTTCTGTGGTATACTAGTATACAACTTTAACTACAGACTGCAGCTGTATCATACAATCATATCATTCATGATTCAAAATTGGGCGGTTCTTTCGAAAATAAATTTAATTTATCGTTTACGCCATGAAATCCTCCCATTTTTATTTATCTTACAATGATTACATCAAACTTATTTCTCCAAGTGCAAACATCTCTTTTTGTTATGTTTACCCATATTACATGGTAGTTGTGGTGTAACGAAATTTTATCTTTTATTTCAACTGAAGTCTTAATTTTTTGATTTTTTATTATTTCATATTGTTTTGACTTTTGATAAGATATTGTTTACATTTGTTTATTAACACAATAACATTGGTGTTAAACAGTTAAATGTTATTAGTTATAGGTTTTTGTTGTTAGGGTCTTGACAAAACAGCTTTCAAAATGGATTCCGACGTAGACTCCGAACTAAAATCGGATTTCACGTCGTATCTAGAGCACATATCCCAAAGAAAAGTATGTACCTATTCCGATTAAAAATTTTTTGTTTGTGAATGAATAATTTAATGACCGACTATTGTATGTGAATTTGTAGAAATTTCAACAAAATTCAACATTAACMGAACACAGTTATTCATCATCCGAATATCAGCAAGACAATTTGTGTTCTACAATTCAAACATTATTTATACACAGATTTGTTCAAAGGTAAGCCTAATGCATTATCTTACCATATTGTGAATTGTTTTATTAACTTAACACAATTATTTTTTTATTTTTAGTGAAAATTCTTCTGATGACGTTGACATTGAAACTATTGACAAAGATGTGAAGTTATTAACATATAGACCTGAGGTTGAACCTAAATCAATAGAATCATATAGAAATTCTAAATTACCTAGAGACCCTGAAATGTGGGAAGATAATATTAACAAGTATGTTTACAACTTTTAATATCATAATAATTTTAAGTTACTAAATTAAAATTTTTGATCTGCTTGATCATAAATGCAATTAAAAATTGTCGCATACTACTGAAAATTATATGATGCTTCGATCTTTTTGCTATCCAGAAAATGTTAGATTTTATGTAAACATTTATTATTACCTAGCTATTAACATTGTGAATGGTAAATTTAAAAAAAGTTTTGATAAAAAAGTGCCACGGAAAAACTCCCTATTTTATAAAAATATGATAAGACATATTTTATTCAATTTTTAATTATTTTACGAGAGGCACATGTCTTAATAAATACATTTTTATATTTTTTAAATAATATTTTTAGACATGTTATATGTTA